GTTTTTTGTAAGTGCACTAAAACTGACCCTCAATCTAATATCCAAGATTCGAGTTCATTGACTGTGAGTTTTGTCAATTTATACCAATTATTGAATTGTAAACGGATATATTGTTCAAATTAGAAATGGTTTTTTCTTCCGATATGCTAGTGATCAGTTTTGTAGAACATATTCTCTATTTATAAACCGCTTAAAACTACTGTTAAGCCTCGAAGTCCGTTAGATTAAATTGATCTGTTGAAGAATCTGTTAGTTTTTTGTTAAGTGCATAATTAATGAGCAGTGTTATATGATTCTTTGAACTTGGAGTTATTGATCTACATTGTTTGAGATAGCTCATTCTTATGTTGTGTGTTGTGATTTATTAAATGTTTTTTGATTTTATCCGTAAGGGATAGTGTTAAATTTTTCGCTTGAATACACAAAATGACGGGTATTGTTAGTTCGTAACTTTAGGTGACTTTAGGTAATATAGCTATGAATTGGTAGCAGTGACGAATATGAAAGAGTGGCAGTTGATAAACACCAGGCACCTGTCTAGCTCTATTTGATTTTAACCGAAACTAGCTGGTGTTAGTCTATAGTTGAGACTGACCTCAGTTTGAAAAAAGCTTTCTGCCTTAGTAACGATTCTTTATACTTTTTATTCTTAATACTCGTTTAGTACCATTTCTGTTACTTTATAATGTGAGTTAATTTAATTAAACCACTTTCAATGGGAACCAACGGAATACCAACACTAAAATCCAATGCATATCTGACAGTTGTCTTATACCACCTATGAGGCATTGCAGTCAATCTATGTGAAGAATCTACTTAACTATCTTACCTCATACTGTTGAATTAATAAGAATCATTTTTTATCTCATTCTACGTGTTCTAGTTCGTTTCTTACTTAGAATAACACTGATCTGATTATAGTTGAAAAATTAAATAGTAATTTGGGAAACCATGATGCCATGGAATTACTTTCTAGTTGTGATTTTTCTAGGTTGAAAAATCAAAAAAGAATTGTAGGACAAATTAATTTCTTACAGTAATATTATACATAGGAGAGAATGAGAGTGTCGATCCTCACAACTTAGGGCTTAACACCAGATGCAATTATGGAGATAGTTTTAAATTCTTTACAAAACAAGTTCTTTGTAAAGCAGACAATAATGAATCGTAGTGTATTAGAATGAAGACCAGAAGTTTTAAATAAAAGAACAACGTGATTGGTAAGAGTAAAAACAACTTTCTAAAAAGGCATGTTTTTGTGGATAAACATTTCGTAAATCGCATGCATATTATATAGTTTCATGAAATAGAAACCTCGAAAGTGGTGGCTTTATGATTGCTAATTTCGCTCAGCTATTTCGACGCATGGTAGTATTTAAATATTTAATCTAGCAACCACAAATAAAGTGGTAGGAAAAACGTTCGTCTTATCACTATACGCCATTCATTTGTAATGTGTATAGTGTGATACTCGTAAATCACTTATGATTGACGATTTCAAATGCATCTCTATGGCCTACTCCATTATGCTATTTTTGATTATTTCAGTTCATTGAAACGCATTCTTACTAATGAGTTAGGATTCGATTTTATTTTTACATTGTACTTGTTACCTAGAAGTAAACTAGTAGTCTAAATTTTATAAATTGATATAACAAGTTTATTGACTCATCTTTGAATCATGTGTTTTTGTTTGAGACCCGGTCATGTACTGTCTGTCAGTGGCAATGTCAAAGTAAATGGTGTGTAATGATTGAAAATCGACTAGTTTAACCACCACATCTCCACTCTGCTAGTAGTTTGGATTGGAAGATGCGTATAAATGAACGATATATTTAAATTATAGGTAGTTAGTATACGTACAATCGGTTAAATGACTATAAATATATTAACCATTGTATATACTATCCAGATCAGTCGTACTATCACACCCTTTTGAATCAGCATGTAAATGCAGAAATTCTTTAATGAAGTTCACTTGATCCGTAAAACGACATCTGACTGTAATCTTTAATAGCCATAATGAAAATTTACTTGCTGACACCTGTTACCACTCGTGGAAGAGCATAGGCCACCGACCAGCCTTCTTCGTGCAACTGTCCTAAGAAATCCTTTCCAGTTGCTATTCATTTATTTCAAGTCCACTCCCAGTTTCGGTGCAATGTGTTCTTTGGTCTTCCTCTTCTTTGTCGTTATTTACGGCTCGTTAGAATATGTGAACATCCTTGTTACTTTAGTTAGCCACTAGTTAATATTATCAATTGTACGAAACTAAAGAATATAGGAGTGTGCTTTTAAAGAGTTTGACAAAATTAGTTATTCGTTTTTTTTACAGTTGGATAATGGCTGATAATAGAACCTGGGAATCGTGTTTTCCGCTGTCCATGAATCGTTAAGTTTATTTACTTGCATCCCAGTACTGATTTTCATGTTGAAATTCGAATCTAGTACTTTCGGTTTAAGCACCTAAGGTGTTGTCCACTGAGTTACTGAGCCCATATAGTTACTAGCTTATACAAAGGGTACAATTTTTTTTTCTTTATTGTTGAAACGGGAAATACAAACTCTTACAAATAGGTGGTTATTCATTGCTTTAACTTATTTCTAATAGTAGTTGTTACATTCTTATGGTCTAATAACTAAAATTAAACACCAGCTACAAAGAAAAGAAAGTAATCGAACAGTTTAGTCCAAGTAATTCTGAATGTAAATAATTAAAAAAACAAAATCCTTCTTTATACGTGATTGCAGTAGCCTAATAAAGTTTATATTTGGAGATAAAACATCACTATCTATTGTTTGTTATCATTGTACCTTAGTTCCAACATTGTTTATGTACACATGCACATATAATCTGTGTTTTTATGTTTTCGCCATTATTATTACTATTATTATTATTACTATTATTATTATTACTATTATTATTACTATTACTACTATTACTACTACTACTACTACTACTATTGTTATTATTATTATTATTATTATTATTATTATTATTATTATTATTATTATTATTATTATTATTATTATTATGTGTATTTTCGAATACCATGTCACTTCGAAAATTCGGTTTTCTATTTTATTATGAAAAGCTTACCATTCATTTGTATTTATTTCAATTTAAATTGCATCATATGATATGTTTCTCCTGGAAAAAGAAATTAAAGATAATCATTAATTGAAAAATGTACTGTCAAAGTTTTTCTCTCATTTACAACTAACTATCTTTTAAACAATTGAATTTATTTATATGATGAATAATTTGTACTATTTTGTAACATAACATATCTATTGTCCACTTTGTAAACAAGTAATTATTGGATTGCCCCCAAATGCCTTAGTATGACCGAGAGTGGGGTGGGCCCGCCCTCCCTCTCGAAATGCTCTCACACGGCCACGCATATACAGCCTCTATCAGGGAAGTCCTACTCACTGTCTTCTCGTGGCGGGGGTGTTGTTTACGAAGTTGAGAGGACGAAAAGCGATTGACCGGCGCTTTAACCGGATTCCAAACCAATGGTGCACATGGGCTCCAGTATCCTATGGGAACAAATGGCGTATGAACTAATCGTTGGTCACCGGCTACCATGGGACTGCATCTCCTCACGATGCTCCATTGCCTTGTGAGTCAGACCTTTAGGTCGAAGGCTCAGGGTGTGGCCCCCTAAGAAAATCACCTGTTTCGGTTTGGGCACCCGGGCAGTATTCCAGTCCTCACGCAAATCGAATGATTTATGTGGCGCATAGCTATTTGGTGCCTCCTTGTACCATTGTTTATGTGTTTAAATAAATAAATAAATAATAATTATTGAATAATTAAATTTGTTGATATTAATTTTTTGACTTGTTATAATCTGATCCCTTTCATTTTCATTCCTAACTATTCATCATTTGAGAATTTTTACTGTTTTTACTCAACAGGCAGTTTAAAATGGTATATTGTATTTGTAAGTTAGCAGTTTTAAAATATATATAATGACTTCTTTTTACTTGGCGCCCAATTTCTGTCAAACTATTCGTTCTAATCTTGACAAATATTCGTATAAAATATATAACCATAGTTGACATTTTGATATTTATCCTCAGAACAAAAATGTACCACTTTCTATTACACTAAAAAAATATGTGATTGTTTTTATTTGATAGTCATATTTCTTATTTAATCAAGTCTGTTTATTTTTTCTATATATTTGTGACTGGTGTTAGATCTTTGAGTTTGATTTATTCCCTGTTGGTTATGAGCAGTTAAATAATACTTAGAATTCAAGAAATTTGGTCTCTCACTTTAAGTTTAAGTTTTGTTCTTCAAGGGTATCTTCGGTAGAAATGAGTTTTCTGAGATGGATGTCTTAATTACGAAGTTTTCATCAGCGTTTAGTTCCAGTTTAAGTGAACATTTTTCATTACTTTATAAGTATTCAGTCAATCTATCCTGATAATTTTGTTTCCGACTGTTTTATCTTTACTGGTTTTCCATCATTTTTAGCACGTCTTAATGGTTGATTCTTCCATAAGTTTATCACGTTAGTGTTTAATTGAATTATATACATGAATTGGTCATTGTATGAACTATCAATCTCTAGTTGACTCAAATATTTGAAGTTTGTACTGAATTAAACAGTTTTTTCTTCTAAGTTCCTTTAAACACTTAAATACGAGCTATGTTCGGCTGTTATTTAATGTTATTGCACTCGGCTTTCAATAAAAAGATCTCAGGTTCGTATCCTGTTCCCCTAGTTCTGTTTAAGCAGCTGGTTAATTTCATTAGTCCTTATACCGTAAATGTAAATCAGAGCCCAATACATAAATCTGTAATTAATTTATTCGTTAGATGTAACATTCATTCGATCAGCATGAAAGCTGTGAATATCATGAAATTACTTTGTGTTATCTTCTCACATTCTAGGTATTTTCATATAGTAGTTGTTCCGTGCATTTTTTGAACAATATTATATAGATATAAGTTAAATTTGGCTAAATAACTTGATATATTTTCAGCTGGTTTTCACTGTACCCTTTTAGTAATGGCCAAAAGTATTTACGAATATGTTCGAAATTTCGAAATTATGGATCCCTGTCTTCCTTCCACATGGATTGTTGTTCGTTTAGATGGACAAGGTTTTCATAAATTTACAGCAAAGCATAATTTTATCAAACCAAATGATACACGTGGTTTATCGTTGTCAGTACGTGCAGCAGAACGTGTTATGCAACGACAGAAAGAAATTGTTCTAGCTTATGGTCAATCAGATGAGTTTAGTTTCGTATTTAAAAAATGTACTGAAGTGTTTAATCGACGAGCAAGGTAAGATAATTGTTGTCTTGTTAATTGGTTCTACAAATTTCTATATTTATGTTTGCCTTTGAGTTGTGTGACTAGCCTGTGATAGTTTATTAATTAACTTTACATATATGAATGTGGTCAAATCTATTTCCCAATTAGTTGACCATTAGTATTCGAAAGTATGGCATACTATCCCAGTGTAATTTTCAAAGATACTCTAGAATATGTGCTTGCGCTCAATTATGTTGATGAACTATTGGTGATAGCTGGAACGGTAATGTATTTATCAACCAGAGTGTTGAGGATTAATTCAACACCCATACAGCTAAGTACAGAATGAAATTCCAAACTGTATAGATTTTGGTTCTGTCAGAATGTCTGTTTAACTGTAAAACATTGTGCATACATAACTTCGCTTTTTGAAGTATCTTATTGAGAATATTTAAATATAACTTTATACAGTACTTGTTTTATCCAATAGAAATACTGAAGTTTGGCGATGTGTTTTGAGTATAGTGAACAATGTTTTTCTATTGTTTACTTCATTTATCTTTCAACAGATTTTTCTCTTTTATAAACTACCTACTTACAAAGTCTGTTTTCTAATTGGCTAAGAACTGGCTGAAAATTTGTCACGGTTGCTTTTTTGTTCATTCCCATAGACTATACTTTTACTAAAATATGTCCAAATTAAAATTAAGAATCAACAAGGGTTTAAGAAAAAGTCACATCATATATACTGTTTATAACATCAAAATTAAAGTCAATATAACTAGGGTAGATTTTATGATTGGCTTTATCGTATAGATTAACTGTTTCGTATTTCATTTTATATCTTCTCACTGTATCCCATTTCATATAATGTTAATAGATGAATCTGTAGGATTTTTTTTGTCTACAGATATTTTATTTGAGCATTTTCCGCGATATATAGTATTTGAGATGATGGGGATTTTGAATGGGTATAACTGCGAACACATTTTATTAATACAATACACCCGACCCAAACAGAGATCAGTGGAAGATCAATACAATTATTATTATTATTATTATTATTATTATTATTATTATTATTATTATTATTATTATTATTATATACTTCTCACATATGTGGAGCGGTTTTTCAGAGGTTAAGGTGCTCGACTTTTAACCACTACGTCTCAGGTTCGAAACCTTCTTTTACTTCAGTCTGGGGAACCAGATAGTATCACTAGCCCTCATACCTAAACTTTCATTCAAAGTCAAGTACACGAATCTGTATCTGGTAATGAGGTTCTACTGTCTGAACAAAAACATTAAGAACATACAAATGTTTAATTAATTTAAGTATAATCCGACTCACGAAAGTCTATTAGCCCACTACACATTACTGTCGGACCAAAATCTATGCAAAACTTTATTTAAACTAAGTTTAATGTTGTCATATAATATTTTATCAGTTTCGCGAACGAAATATATATATATATATATATATATATATATATATATATATATAAATGAAACACGCGTCCTGACCACTATCCATCTCTGCTTATAATTACCGTAAAAGTATTTACTAAAGTTATACTTAGAAACAAGTGACCTTTTTTTGTTTACCCATAAAAGGTGATGTAAAAGTATAGTTACTCAATCAATATGTTTCCACCATCGTAAGTTATTCAAGGACAAAGTAGTTATTTTTTGTTTCACTAATGCTCATATACAATGAATACCATTGACATTTTCATGTGAATTCAATCTTGTGTCGTAAATGTTTAGATTATTCATATTATTAGTTTAATCAGTTGATACATTTTGTCATCATGTGTATTTCTTGTTTTTTGTTCAAATCATAAATTCACATAAGTATTTTGAGAACTTCTCCTCTAAATGACAATTTTTCATTATGGTGAGATTTTTTGGTGTAATATAATTAGCTAAATGTTCGTGAAGTTTACCGGGAAGTACAATTTGACTAAATCTCCCCTTATAAGTACTAAAAAATTCTAATTTTAATGACTGAAAGTAACTTTCTTGTCACAATGTTTGAGAGTTGTGAACTTGATGCCCACTGCAGAGGAGTCCTATACTGCTACAAATTCATTTTTTCGCAATAAAGCAGCATTATCGTAAAGTGAAGATGTTTGTATTGATTAAGAAGTCATACACTCATTCACATACATACGTCTATAAGAAAACTAATGAGGTTGATAATTACCGTTGTGTAGCCAAATTCATTTATCCACAAAATAATTAGAAAAACTAATAATCTGATATTATTACCTACATTTTAAGACGACTCATTTCGTGTGTGTGTGTGTGTGTGCACGTTCAGTGATTATTATCTATATGAGATATTTAAGATCAGAGCTGTGAGTGATGATACTCATAGTGATCAACCTTGATTACTATATCACCAAAGTTTAAAAGTAATGAAGCATAAAAATCATGAAAATTGCTAAAACATGAATGATAATAGTAGTATGAATTGTCTTTTCTATTTGATTACAACCTTTTACGAATTCATTGCATGATATTGAAGATTATTATGCTTAAAATGACCTAAATAAAGCTCAGTCAATCAAGTCAGTGATTTTTAATACAGCACGTGATTGTTCATTGTTTCATGTTGCCACATCAGTTTAATAGGATGAAAATGATACATAGCAGCGGAATGGTAGTAATAGTTGAATGCTCTTAACAAGTTTATGTGTGATCGGATTGTTCGAAATGTATTGCGCTAATATATCACATAGTTCTGATAATCTTCGTCTTCTAATTACATTACCGAAAGTAATAGAAGCGTTTTTGATTACCGTGTAGAGAATATTTGTAGAAAAGATCGTTTGAAATGGAGGAATATATGTATAAAACGATATTGAAACCTTTATCACTGCGATCGCTTCCTATCAATCTCACTCGAAATCCCTAGCTAAAATGTCTTCGCTTCGTGATATGACTGATAACAGTAGGCAATGACTTCATGAACTGGTCCCACCCCGTGGGGAATTTAAGGAGCTATGAAGAATTCTACTTGGTTTAACCGACCCAATATAAGCTTTGAATTTATCCATAGCACCTGAATGAAGAGTCTTCCTTAGTCTATGTACCTTTTTGCTATCCTTTTCAATTATAGATAATACAATAAGGCCTCACATTCGAATACTGACTTCAGATCATTGGATATGGCTAAAGTCGAACGTATACCTACGGGTAATTAAAAGCCAGTTGTACCATTTCCTAAACTGTCCTACTCATCATGTTGTCTGAATAAATCATAATTTTCCAGTAAACCCGTCTTCAATATACTTATAATTCTAACCTTTAAGTAAAGCTTTTTTTGCCAAGATGTGATTATCTCTCCTCAAGTTGGGTAGTTGAAAGAATGAAAGTTATTTATATTTATATTTCCCAGCTGTACATTTACATTGTTTGGAAACATTTTCTCTTAATATCAAGTTACCAAAATAGGTGATAAAGATAATTTATATGTGAGCAGTTATCTCCCTTAAAACATTCCATAAATCCGAAACTATAACCCTCCTGTTTGTGATGCAGTACAGTTATCAATGGTTTACATACTCAAATATTATCCGTAACAAGTAATTTGTCATTATTATCTTGTAAGGAAAGAGTGTATAGGGACGGTATTTTGTGAGTACTCTTGAGGTTAGATAAAGTTTTCTTCATATAGGTATTAAATAAGTTGATTAATTCCTTAGCTTTCAGCTTAACTAATAAGAACGTATGTATGCATCGTGTAATATATAAGATTTCAAAAATATCACTAAACAACAAAGTCGTTTACTGTTTGGCTAGTTATTTTTCCATGATCTTCCAAATGATATTATTCCTTAATGAAGACTACTGTCTAACTGAACTTATCTCCACAGACTATCTAACTTTACTATATGTGTATATCATATCGTGACTCACTTGATGGATTCCAAAAGTTTGAATAGAACATCCTAACTGATGAAGTTCAACTGCATTGGGACTGAGGCAGATATCACCAATTTCATTAAATAATGCTATCACTTTATTGTAAACTGACCGACTGACAATTTGGCCTATTAGATTCCGGCTCAGTGACTTACTCTTATCACAGTTGCAGCTAATCCTTAAAGTTTTGGTGTGTACTGGTGAGGGGTCCTCGGTTAGGGACTAGAATACTGAGCAGTGCTCTCAGGTTTTCAGTGATTCCCTAGTTAGTTTTAGACCATGAAAATAATAATTGACAGTCACTTTCTGTCATTTTTAATGTATTATAAACTGTAGGATGCTTCGTTGGGGTTTTAAAAAATAACTTAAACTAATGATTAAAATTGACACAGTTCAAAGCCAGTCCCACTGATGTATATGCATTGATTAGTTGTTTATCTTTTCATTCAGAACTACCTATCTGCTCTATATAAGACCAAATGCCTATCATTTATTCATTTTGTAATTTTCGCTTTGTTTTTATTTTTTAAGATTCTGTATTTATTATCGTTACATCAATTCCATCCATACTTTAATTCCTTTGTTTTGTGTGCTCTTCATATAAATATATATATTTTAGCAAAATATCCAGTACAGTTGTTTCGTTGTTCACATCTTCATATGTTTTTGAATGGCCGAAGTATTTTCCTGATACTCCATTACTGTATCCACCAGCGTTTGATTCTCGAGTAATACTTTATCCAACGAATAAAACTCTCAGGGATTATTTAAGTTGGCGTCAGGTTGATTGTAAGTTTATAATGTGTATTTTTTGTATTTAAGCCTTATGAAATGTAATAACTAATTTCATTCTATTTCAGAGTAATGAGTTTACGTTTATTAGTATAATCATATTTTATGTGAACTACTGTATCTCGTTTTATTTTGATTTGACCAGACATTGTAGAAGATAAAAGAGTTCCAAAGAGAACAGTGAGAGAATCTTGTTAAAATTACAAACCGACCCAAGTTAGACAATCACTAAAACTTAAGAGACCCAGGATAACTGTTTTACCTTAGTATGGAACTCTCCATCAATAAGGATCCGTGACCCCACAACTGGGAGTCGAAACCAAAACCCTCGGTCATATATGTGAGTACTCAATCTTATGACCATTTAACCGCAATCAAATCGTGTAGATGTCTAACTCCTGTCAGTTAACGTTATTTTGTGACCACCTTCCGTTGTCTTCGGTGGGTACGTTCCTCACACTCCACAATGTTGAACTGCGTACTAGTGAAAAGTTCATACTAGAACTTCTTCTAATTTTCTCTCGAAGGTACTAGTAAAAAAATGACGAAATTTCACCTAGATACAAAACCCTCATAATCTTGGGATGAAATAATTATCAGCTTATTTTTTCTGTCTCTTATGATAAAGCGAAATAGAATCAGTTTTTTAAGTGAATTTGTGTGGGATGCTGGAAGTCATAATTAGTTTTTTTGTCTACAAATTACTGCGTATCAATGCCCAAAAATGCCCTGGTACGCCCGAGGTTGGGAAGAGTCAGCTCTCCCTCCCGAACTGCCCGCACATGGCCACGCGTATATGGCCAATCCCAGGTAGGTTCTACTCGCTGCCTTCTCGCAGAGGGGGGCGTTTTCACCTAATTGAGAGGACAAAACGCGAATGTCTGGCGCTTTCACTGGTTTGGTGGGTATGCAAGATCCACCTAGGGTATTTGGAAAACCCTGATTCCAAATTAATGGTGCACATGAGCTCCTGGGTCCTGAGGAACAAATGGTGGATGAACCTATTGCTGATCACTAGGTACCATGGGATTGCGTTTCGTAACGTTGCTCCACTGTCTTGTGGATCGGACCGCTAGGTCAAAAGCTCGGGGCACCCGTTCAGTATTCGAGCCCTCACACAAATCGAATAATGAAGTGTGGCGCATATAAATTTGGTGCCACCTTGTATCAATGTTTATGCGTTTAGATAAATAAATAAACTACATATCAATATCCACAAAACACCAACGGCCTAAACGAAATAGATAAAAATGCCTATGTATTATTTATATTTCGAACTGTGATTAGTTAAAATGAACTCTGGGAACTAGTAATTATAAAATAACTCTTTCTCCCCCTAATGATTTGGGACCTAGAATCACCAGACTTTCTGGTTAACATGTTACTGTTTGTTTGTCTCACGTAAATTTAATGATGTCATTTAACAAGTATAAGAAAATTCGTAATAGAAAGGTTAGCATAATCTATTTGTTACCATTTATAGTGATAAACGAATATACTGGAAACATTGGTTTCGCACTTACAGGCTTGGTACATTGTTCAAGTGCATTTTTCACATTAGAATTCGTGTTACTTGACTGGCTAGCAAATCTATTTTTATTAATGCAGAGATGAAAAAAAGTCGCACTCAGCCATAAAAGTGCAAATAAACCGCGAGTTGATAATGATAAGCTCCTTTTAGTGTTGTGATCATTACATACACACTGTTATAATGATTAAATATATAAGCTGTATTATTTTAATTTAAGTAATAGTTACAATAGAATTTGTTTTCAGACAACTAATCTAAACAGTCATTAGTCATTTAACGAACACAATCAATAGCATAAATGTTAACATAAACTATTATGACGAATATAATCAGTCTAGCCTATATATCACGAACTGATCGAAGTTAGATCACCATTGAAAACCTGGAAGCATTGGATAACCGCTTCGTTTTATTATGGGACTTCTCAGTTCAGCAATGCGCATCCACGATCCCGCGCGCGGGATTCGGACCCACAACCTTCAGCCTCTCACTAGAACACCTAACCTCTATACCACTTAGCCGGTACCCAATGGTGTCATTGTCTAATTCTCAACAGTCTACGATGTAGGACGACTGTCTTCCATTGCCTCACATCGTTAGTGTTATTCAAGTTTTATCAATCATTTCGACAAATGGAAATCAGTAGTAATGACTCAATATTACGGTGAACTGTGTTTGATATCTGATGGTGGGTTGGGATCTATAGGAATTTCTAATCGACACTTGTTTGCAATCTTAATGGAAATAGAGTACTTTAAGCTTTTCTAATTCAACACCAAACATAGTTTGCTACGATATGAGTCACTTAGATGATCATATTACATCTTAAGTATCATTAAGGACTAGATTGTATGGCATTAGTTACTATTTAGTAGTCAAGTAGTGTATTTAATTCATTTCTTAGTCTGTTAAAAATGTTTTTCAGTCATTATTATGCCATTTAAATGCATTATATCTATTTTGAATGTACTTTGAGATATACACATATATATTCTTTGTCATTTATCAGACCTGCTAATGTACACTGAAACTATCTATTCATATTTACTACTATTTTTAAAGGATTCATTAAAATACAAAAACAGAATATTTACGTAACAAGGTATTTGTGGTATGATAATAATACAATACATTTTTTTCTACTACAGTGCTCTGAAATATTTTTTAATGGTCCATTTAAGAGAAAAAATTACTTTTTTATTTTCATTCTGTAAGAGACTCATTATGATCACTACACAATACAAGTGTGTACATATATATGTATTTCTTTCTCAGTTTATAAGAATGAATTTTATCTACTAAAAACTTATGCAAAGAATTCTATACCGTATTCTGTCTATTAATTACTAAAGTGCATTTTTGTTGGTTTTCAAAAATAGTGATAATGGTGTAGTAAACGAACACTCAGGTGAGGAAAACCAATTTATTGTTTATTGAAAAGTTACAGAGTGATTTTTCAAAATATGAAAACCATACATTAAATACAGTATTTGCACATCTTCCTTCAGTTGTCGTTTACATGCTTCATGATTCCTTCAATTCTGTTGTTATTACAATTGCTCTCTGTTTCTCTTCCTGTTCTTTTCAATTCGATCTTCTCAATCTTCTGCTGCCTGGCATTCCACTTCTGATTGGTGTTACATACTACTTATATCTATCAACATAAGTAGCATATACTACAATGGTACTGTTAAGATTGATATTTGTATACCTCGATCGTGGATGAAAACAATGATTATTAATTTTGTTGAAAACAGTGTCAAAATAAAACCAACTCATAAAACTCATTTATTTGAACACTCAGTTTTATTATGAGTTTATAATATTTGCACCTATTAATGTGACTGAAAAAATTTGCAAATTTTTTAAGTGGATGATCAGTAACTCTCAGACGGCAAAATCATACTTAGCCAATTATATATAAGTGGTATTGAAGGAATTTGTTTGTTGTACCTGTAAGTATGTTACAATGATACATATTTCTCTTCTGTGATATTCTGTAAAGCTTAAGTACAATTTGGTAATCAGGCAAATATATTTCTGTAGTCGTTTCCTTAAGATATATTTTCAACCTGTATATCAGAAAGAAGGATTACATATACTTAACTGTTCAGTTTTTATCAGGGATTGTATTTGATTTTTTCATTATTGTTTATGAACTTGGACAAACTCCGTCTTTCCATTGCATTATTAGAATACGTCTTTAAAAAAATAATCACCGGTAAAATTTCACTGTAAGTACTACACTGTCTTCGTTTGATATCTACTAATTATTTTTCTTCGTTATAAAGAACGTTATCTGTCACTCCTACTACATTTTGTGGATGTTTCAGCGGAACTGCTAAATGGCCAGTAGTAAGCCTAAATGTCAAGTGATTGCGGTACTTAACCGATAACGCTGGATCAAGGTTTTGTTCTAGTTGAAAGTCCTCAGCTAGGCATACTGGAAATCTTGAGAGAACTATTTCAGACGCGCACCACCCAGCTACACTGTTTCGTGTGTTACCATCAAGCTTTTTGGGCATCGACTGACCTGTAGGACTGAGGTATTTACATTTGACTGATCACTGAGTGGTGTCTCACGTCATGCTTGTCTATTCATTTATTAAGTAGTTGTGAAGCTTGATTGTTCATAGAATCACACGCATATTTTCGACTTTAGATTATTTGGCAGGAATGATTTTATTATTGTTTGTAAAGATCCTCAATTTAGGGTGTTCATATTAATGCTTCGTACATAAATTTATTCATTTACTTATTGTTCTTAATACTTCGATAATTCAGGTAGCATGTTGATACCTGTTTTCGTCTCACAATATGGCAGATATTTTCTATATTTCTCCTGTATTCAACCTTATTCAAACATGGACTGTGCAATATGTGAAAATAAATAATGGTACATATATGTAGTATTATTTAATCTACTAATTATGTAATATACTGTTGTCCCTCAATGTGTAGCAATTAAGACGAATGTATTTGTAGTGATGAATGGTACAATTAGGCTCAACTTTATTGATTACTTTTCCAAGAGGTTTGAGGCAATATGTTAGTTGGTCTATTGCTCAGTATTTCTGGTCAATGTACTTTGACTAGTTTGAATTTTTGTTTTGCTAATTATAAATAGGTTTTTGTCATAATTTAAGAGATATTCATTTCGAAATAATGTTTGTTTCACGAAGTATAGACTGAGTTGTGGTAAGCGATTAGATTTCAAAATTAAGTTAGTAGTTATTCAAGTCTAGATTTTGAAGTCCTTTTCTTGTCAATTGACCACAATATTAAGTCGTGTAGTTACATCACATAGTTTATCGTCTTTCGCGAGTCGTGCAGAATATTTAATGGTTGAGATCATTGGTCAGTTGAAGCTAGACCACCATGGAAAACCTGGAAGCACTGGACGGCCGTTTCGTCCTATTGTGGGACTGCTCAGCAGTGCGCATCCGCGATCCTGCACCCCGCGAGATTTGAACCCAGGACCTATCAGTCTCGCGCGCGAGCGCTTAACCACTATGCCACTGAGCTGGCATCCATCGGTGTTAATGTCTAACTTCAACTAATCCACAAAATTGAAATTACTATGATATCCACAATACCCCTTCTGATATTAAAAAGTAGTTAGTTGATTTTATTTATACTATAATAAATAAGGTCGATTTCTATCGTCTTTTGAATATATGTTGTATTGATAGCGTCAATTAATAGTAGTATTATGCACTCATGGGTTTAACATTAATTTCTAAGAATATAAGGCCATGTAGTGTTGAGTGTTTTTTTTCTCTAATCAATCTTACTTATAATATTACCGTTGTCGATTATAAAAAAATATACTTTAGTGTATGACAGTTTACTGCATAAATATCGCTAAATTTGTGTCAATATCTCAGATAAGGTGTGTATATCTATATGACCATACTCTTAATTATATTTGTTTTAATTTTGATACTTAATTCTTTGTATCCTTTCATAAACAAACTAGTGGATTTGCAGTAAACTTCTGGTAGTTATTGTATTAATAATATCAGTGATCAAGGCAGCAAGTAATTACTAAATATTACATTTATAAGGAAATGAACTCTCTATAACAACTAATTTTTATTAATAGTGTTCATATTTGTGCACCATATTATAAGGTTATTTTTTTATTGAGAGTTTACAAAATAGTCAAGTATGGAGGGGGGTAGACAATAAAGAATAATGAGTCCGGATACTAACAAATCCTACAATTATTATTTTTGAAAAAGTCAGTCAATCATAGTAAGGATACAACGTGGATGGGATTTACACATATCAGTTCAAATGGAATTTAAGAGAATGAGAAACAAAGGAGATGAACGTCTACTTTACAAGCCAAATATAGCCTAGAAATAATAAACGACACCAAAAATGAAATGTTTAGAGTGATACTTAAAAAACCTAGATTTAAAGAAAAATAAAATGAATTGCTCTGCTATAGTATATTTTGAGCCAGATCATCTAAAATTTCTGATGTAACACCGATTAATATATAGTAAACAGTGATTTGGACTGAAAATGGGATGAATGAGTTTCAGAGAAAAAAAACACATCAGCTGAACAAGCCAGAATATATTTGATTTAATTACCAACCGATAAGATAGGTGGAAGGATAGGAATTGCAGTAAAAATGTACCATTAATTATTTAACTATAATGTATAAATGTGTTCAACCACTGATCAGTTGTATGGCATGGAATTCATGACAGTATTTAATTTCTCTTCAGACAATAGCAATTTAGTTGATCTGGTTACATCAGTCCCCAACAACTACCACAAGTTATAACTCTTTCAAACACTAGATCCATTCGCATATAGCACGTGAAACTGAATGTTTTTGTTCGCTCAATAATCATGAAACATGATATCAAAATATAAAGTCAAGAATAATCAATAAGACCAGTTACCATACAATTTTCATTCTCCTTCATGTTTATAATATTACATCGAACATTTTACAAATAAAATTAAGATTTCCTTCTATTTCATTCATAAATCAATGTTTTTATATAAACCGAACAACTAGCTAAATAATACAAATTTGTCATTTATGTATTAAAGTCTTCATACTTATTGATAAAATATAGATAATGTGTAGTCATTGGTAATAATAAATAATTTATGGTTATATATTGTTTTTGAGTTCAGTGGTGGTTAAATTATGAAGGTTTGCTTTTGGATTCTGTTTAATTTACTTTGGCTTATCGGTTGATAGATCAAGCCTGTGTCAACTTGCCTATTCAATGTGAATTGACCTGGAATTCTATAGAGATTCCATATCTTCCTCAATTATTTACAAAGATCGTTGTAAAAGATGGTATTTTTTATCATTTAAGTTTTGATCTATATTGATGGATGAGTAGTTGGTGTGTTGTAGTTTATGTTGTAAATAAAGTTAGTTTTAAAGTATATTTCGTGACTAACAGGGGAATACATAACGCTCGTTTCGTCCCATTTATGACTTATCAGCTGAATATGTCTGATTCCCAGTGTCGATGTTTATACTGAAATCTGAATTCTGGATCTTGGGATGGAAGTGCATCCGATTGACAAGTAACGAATAAGGTGATACGTTCATTCTGGATTAAATTCCTCTTCACATACCATATGCATTAAAACTGGTGAAATAATGCCAATATAAAGATAATTTTAAAGTTGGTATAGTCGGTTATCATTATTTTAAGACTGACACAGACCCAATCATTTGTGCAGTGAATAACATTTTACAAATAGTTAGCCTTAGTAATCAGGCTATTAATAGCCTAAATTCAAATTCGAACATGGCTACAGCTGGATATTCTAAATGTTCATACATTTGGAAGAGAAAAAATGTTTGCACTTAGATATATTTAGCAGATATTTTTATAACACTCAAACCCATAATTCTTTTCTTAATGATTAAGTTCATACTCTCAAATTTTGTTGTTAGAGAAAAAATTACATTCGTTTTAATGTTAACCTGATAAAATTATCTGATTTTTCGTTGTCTAATGGTGACACATCATCCTTATTTTTTCTAGATGCTTCAGGGAAGTCTCTATTGGGTGCTGGTAGGACGCGACGTTTTTAGCCCTTTCCCGGTTTCTAAGGTCTTCATCAATGAACTCTTGGGTTTTTCTATATATATATACCTACAATTTCAAAATATACCAATGCAGAAATGTCAGGAAGCACATAAGTGTGGTATTTTGAAATGTTAGAACGTATAACAATGATTAGTTGGTCAAGCAAATAAACAAATTGATTAACTGAAGCATACTTTTTCACTGATTTTGTCTTTTTACAACAAAACAGATAATAAGTCGTATGACATCGATAACGTTGGATAAAACTAATCTCTTTGTCGTGTTTACATTAGGATTAAAAAACATTATTTACGTAGCTAGGCATAAGTTTTGGTGGAATATATTCCTTGTTCTAATGTCGGGTTGTTGAAATCAATCAGCAGTAAATTTTTGACCATGGTTTTGTGCTAGTTGGTAGTCGTCGGAATCACTTATCTGCACTATTGAAAGAAACTGTTGCTCCTTTGTTGGATTTAAACCCTTGTGTCAGCGTCTTAAAATCAGTCACCACTATTCCATTTAAGGTATAACTAAAGTCCTGCACTATGTCAGGTTGTTTAGACTAGTGGTCATACTGAAACCTGGACAGCACCAAAGACTAAACCAATATTAGATTGACTGCCACTAAGTGATCTATTTACATGATTCTTATGTATGCTGACAAAAGCGTGGTTGAAGCCCTGTTCAACTGCATTGTTTTGTAATTCCTATGATCGATTTTGTATGATTTACTAAACCTAATCTCAATTGACAATGCAATTTCACAGATCTGATACAAAATCTTTTTTGGAAAATGTTATATTCCATGCATATATAACAGCGAAAAAAAGCAAGACAGATAGTGAATGAATGCATCTTAGACTTTAGTATACTAGCCGAGTAACGTCTTTTGTTTAATATAAGGTTTATATTTTTCTCACATTTATAATTCGTACATTTTTTTAGTTATTGTGTATTACGGATTTAAAGAAAGCACATTCATTTTCTTATTCTGTTCCCTAAGTTGTTAAACATTGCGTATCTAATTCACATAAACCATTCTATTCATAATAATTAAACGCTTATACTGTGTACTGAAAATTTAACTGTAATTATTTTCTTTATATTTATCCAAGGTCATATCAACAATCTCTATAATACTTGTTTTTGGAAACTTGTTCAAAATGCTGGCCTAAGTGGAACAGAGGCTGAAGAACGCTTAAGAGTAAGGCTGTTGTTTTTTTTTTCAATTTTTTGTTGTTGTGTAGTTTAGATGAATTGATTACTTACTTATCTTATATTACGTTCATATATTTTACTTCTCAAGTACAAGTTTATTATACTCAGCTTGAAGACAAATACATGGTTTGTGTAATAAAGACTAATAATATTAGCCGTTTGTACAATTATGTATAGCAAGTGTTATGCATGCGATCTGATCATTGCAAACTAAACGCTTTAACCAATAGTAGATTAACACTTTAGTTTCATGTCTACAAATCAATGTATTAATCTTAGTATTAGCTAATGTGTAATTGATCGAATTGGAATTAGTTTACAGATCTGATTTCTATTAGTGTCCCGTGTGTTGTAATTACGAGATAATAATTTCTTAAAATAACTAGAATACTATATTATTATTATTATTATTATTATTATTATTATTATTATTATTATTATTATTATTATTATTATTATTATTATTATTATTATTATTATTATTATTATTACAAGGACGACACAATAAATAAATGGAGTTACTGGATTCACATCCAGTTGACATTTATCCAACCATTGAAAAGAAAGCAATAATAGAGAAAACAATTGTTCTTTCACTTATTAAGTATTTTTTTAAAATGTAATCACGACTTAACTTTGAATCATTCAATAACGATTTACAAAATGTATCTGAAAGTGCTGAAAAAAGGATAAATTGAAATTGACATCAGTAACTTGAAATGAATATAATTCTTGATATTCACTTGAGCAGATTATACTCAACTATATAGATTGACTGTGGAATTTGGCTTTTCAGTTTTCAAGATGTGTGTAATCTGTCATTACTCAATCATAGATATCTTCAAAACTGAGGTATAACGTAGAAATCGTCAAGTAAGTAGTGCTAAGGTTTGGTATAGAATAATAGATAGCTGAGATATCGATTGCAAGTGAACTGTGATAGATACCTCACGTTAAACCACTATAAGGAGTTGTTTTCTGTTGTGAATTTTTTTTCATCCTATCTGCTTGTTTGTATCAGTGTATTCTTGTTGTGATTGATACATGGATCTCGATCAAGTGGTTTGATATGTGTGATTGTGTTACATGATCAAATAAATCTGAATTACGACAGTAACAATAGTAGTTGGATTAATGAAGCTGTGAGATTACATCGTCCTATATCACTGAGATGTATATTTTGCACGCCTGACCCTTCTATACTCATATGTACACTAGTAACTGACATTGGAGATAGTTTAAGGAAAACTATGGTTAACCAAATCAAAACATTAGAATAATCAATGGACTGATCACCACTTGAATTGAGCTACGGTTGAGGGTTTATGATTGGTGCAGTTCAATTATTTTAAACAGCGATTGAAGACTTTAGATGACGTATTACCGAAATAGTCGTAATGGCATGAAACACATTCACTCTCTCTCTTTATCTTATACTTGATTTTTAATATTATGTAGCACCTTTCCCTCACAAACGTTTTTTGTTCTCAATCTAGATTGTTCATGTTTGGCTTTTTCATTATTATTGTTTCGACTACTTTTATTTTCTTTCTGTTGATTTTTACTCTCTCACTGTGCCTTTGGTGTGAAGTTGTGAAACGATGCACAAATGTCCACCGGTTCTACTTTGTTTATCATTGACATTTTTGAATATATATATATTCGATGACTCATAGATGATAGAATATTACTAAGTCCGGTTTACATACCTACTGTTTTAAGTTGATTCACATGTTTCAGAGATAAATATATAATAATGTTTTGATAAAATCTTTGATTGAATACCTGAAGTCTCAAGTTATTCATTTTTATAAACTTTATTAGTTAGCGACCGTTCTCATTCGTGTCCTAGCTTTCATGTTAAGACTATAATTTATGAATGACCTTTAAGCAGCGCCAAAGTGGCCTTGAGAAAACTCACTTTATAGGGTCTAAAGAGCATTATAAATTATTGTGAAATATTAGGTTTAGTGTCTAGAGTTAGAAGTCAGCGTTAAGGGTAAGAATTAGGGTTTTCATCTTCAACTGACTGTTACTGTAAGGCCAATATACTATTTAGCCATATAGATAAATGAATTACACCCTAAAATCCATGATTCGCTATTTTTAATCTGATTGGTTCATCCGCAAACCTTAGTCTCACCACTTTCATTTTAAAACCATTTATTGTTAGTAGTCACTTCAGCAAATTAAACATGCTATATATTCAAGTAGTTGTACACGAAATAGAAAAGGTATTAATTTCATCCAACTCAATGTTTATTAAGTATTGGTCATTGACTCTTTCATATAGAAACTTGAAAACAAAGCGAAAATATAAGAGAATTAAACGTTTTTATGGGTAAATATAAAGTACTAAGTTAAATCTTTAAGAAAATGTCATATTTTCACTCTAAAAGACCCTAAGGAAGTTGTTTGCATTACCATTGAAGACAGTACATTTTGAGACTCAACTATTCCTAAATTATTAAGAATTCATATTGTTAAAATTAAAATAACATGTATTAGCGAATAATATCGTTTTCAATTAGATCATCATCAGAATTTTACTCTAATATACATGAACATTTATGTGATGATATAAAACAAATCAATGCAATTCATTATGAATCAATGATTATAGTGAATTAAGTAGATTGCATAACTACACATAATAAGTAAAAATTGCAAATTGATAGTAATAGTAATATCACATCAATTCCATACAATAGTTCAACATAGAAAGTAGGTCAAACTTAGATAAACAAACTTTAGAATAATGATCACAAAACACTTAAAATAACGTTATAAGTATGTAAAGAATTAGGTATTGAAGAATATCAACGGAAGTGAAAAATGATAAAATATTTGTTAAGTCACATCTGACTAAGGGAAAGGACAGATCTCATACAAATTCCTTTTGAACACATAAACTAGGGTCATAGGTTCAAATCCCTATAGCTTCTAGTGAATGTAAGAGACAGAACTGTACACCTTTAGGATACAATGAAGGTATACGATAGATAACTCGAAATAATTTGCTTTTATCTACCACATAATCACTATTAACGAGGTATACTGAAATGGAACTACGTATTGTTTCCATTTGGCCCTTTCCAAACCACAGATAGATAAGCAAAGATGGATGATGGTTAGCAGTGGAATCCAGGACGCACGTTATGTCCTGTTTGGGACTCGTCATCTGGATGTACCTACCTCCCAAGAGTTGGTGTTCACTCTGGGACTCACACTCAGTACCGTTCACTTCAAACGCCATCGCGTTATCCACTTATCTAATGAGTCTTGATAGCTACTTGCTTGTGCATTGGGGTGAAGCTTAGATTCACTTAATATTGTTTGCTTGAACCCTCCCATTGATGTTCAGGACTGCAATTTATCAGTCTATTATTAGCATATGTGCATACTGATCAATTGCAGTCCTAAACATTAATGGGAAGATTCAAGCAAACAACACACAGGTAGATGTTCACTCGTTTGTTGTTTAATTTTCCCAGTAGCACGCCCAATCTAACTATCTTCGGAGAACCACCTGAATTTGTAAATAGACTCAGAAGAGGGAAACTCAAGTAACTCCAAATGAGTTCACACCTGTTCATATACAGATTATTATATATATTTATTATTGATAATCATTTTTATTTTTATTCTTTCTGTCATCAATGTTGATGAACTCTTGTTATATCATATCTCACTGCTACACTTTAATACATATATGGTTGTAAGCAGCTAATAAGAATCCAAGAAATATAAAGAATTTATATTATCTTAATTGTTGTTCTGGCTTTATTCAATCTAACTGAATTGCTTGCTTATAAATGTTTTTCTCTGAGATTAAAATTAGAAGTATGAACTTCAGTAAATATTTTAGATGTTTTGTTAAAATCTCTTCTAATCCTACTTATTTTGTTTCTATGGTGTAAATATCAATTGCAGTTGTGAATCTCTTTATAACTCATAGTATCGAACCATCATCCATACATGAGTAGAATTAATCGAAAATGTCTTAATTATTTTACATATACTAGGCTATATATGATTTCTATGCTTCTTACAAATATTTATTGCAGATTGAAATCATGAGTCGATTGAAGCTGAACCACCATGAAAAACCTGGAAGCACTGGATGGCCGTTTCGTCCTAGTATGGGACTCCTCAGCAGTGCTCATCCACGATCCCACACCCCGCAAGATTCGAACCCAGGACCTCTCAGTCTCGCGCCAGGCGCTTAACCAACTAGACCACTGAGCCGGCATCCAATGTTGTTAATGTCTAACTTCAACCAATCCACGAAGCTGCGCCACCGCACACCATTGTCTTCAGTGAGTTGATATCTCACAACAGACCTGATTGAACTCCACTGGTAACGGCTTCTCACTAGAACTCCAGAAGTATCCCTTGAAGTCAGTCACTAGTGAGCAGATGATCTCGCGTGGTGCGGGGTCGTGGATGCGCACTGCTGAGGAGTCCCATACTAGGACGAAACGGCCGTCCAGTGCTTCCAGGTTTTCCATGGTGGTTTAGCTTCAATTGCCTCATGATTTCAATCTATGAAATTTCTAAAATCTCCACAAACCCCTTCTGAAGATATTTATTATTCAAAAATTATATTTTCTGTAATACAATTGAATTTCCAGTTAGCTTTTTTTTGCAAAATTATAGTTCACTCACATGCAATTATGTATTTATGTTTCATCTACTTTTGAAGTATCAAATTATTAAGAGTTTTCTTTAATGATCATTAAGAAATGAAATAATATTACCCAAAACCGAATCGTAGTAGGTGCTGGAACAAATGAATGAATTATGAATAACTCATGTTTTTATAAAGTTCATTGATTAACAATGAATTTAGAACTAATGACAATGAGATTAGGTTTAGACAGAATGTTAGGAGTGTATAATACAATTTGATATTGCTTACCTATTTGATCATTAATAGTTTACAAACTATATGTACTTCGTCATTGTTAGATATGGATAGTATAT